GGCGGGCAGAGCGTCCCATTCAGAAATCTGTGTATCGAAAAACCACCTGGGAAGAACATTACGCGCACTTCGTCAGCTTGGCTTTTTACCAGTTCATTAAAGCCACTAGAATCTGTTGCCCAGACAGATTGATTACGAAATTAGTGTTCGGAAGAATGTTTTCGTCGGAAACGGGTATCTGAAGAAATTTATCTTTAAGTATCACCATCCGAGGTCAGGATGTCCTGCGGAAATATCCATGCCAGAAAGCCTGTGAGCGTCTCCTTCCATTTCAAGGTTGAAAATGTGTCAGATGTGCTTAAGCGGGGGCTTCGGTACACGATTAAGCGGACGTACGCCGCCTCTAACTTATCATTCATAAACAGTACAACGGCTATTCCGGTTAGACAAACTAGGGACATTATGCCTACGCAGGTCACATCAAGCAGTATTTATTAGCTTAAATGCAGTTTTGGATGCAAATACATTGGACGCACGTAAAGGCAGTTGGCGACTCGGCCAGCTGAACACACGCCGAAATGACCGCTAAGGGCGACAAATAGGTACCCAGTTAAATTAAGAAGCACCTACTGGACACGGGCATATGGTGGACCAAATAACTTCGTTTAAGATCCTGCTTCAGGCTACGACCGAGAGTCTCGCGAACTTTACAAAGGCTGCTGAAATACGCAGGAGAAAATCAGAACTTTGTGAAAAGCTGAATCATGTGATCGACCTCGTACTGCCATGGTAAGGATTGACAATGGACATGGTCCCATGCCTACATCCGTCTTCTTACTTCATCCCTCTCCGCACGACGGACTGCTGTCACGCGCGTCGCAGTTTTGCTTACGTTCAACAAACTTTTATTGAAATCTGAAATCGCTTGGCTAGATGACTCCCCTCCCATCCATGCTGCCATACGCGATCGCACATCAGACCATCAGTTCATGTCTTATTTACCTAACACGTTTCATCCCTCTAGGTCGTTCTCTAATCGGACAGTTTATCTTATCTTATAAATACGCCATGACCGTATGCAGTTGAATAAAAGGTCACCTAATTGATAACGTCGTTAAGTCGTGCATGTTTCGTCGTCTTTTTCTTGTTAAAATTTATCCCGGGGAAACAGTACTTCAACTTATTGGAAGTTAATTTCCTGACTATGGAAATTTGACCCTCCAGAGTTTTTGTGCCGTCACAGATTTTGACTCCATGTAGTTTCATCAACTAAAAGAGGAGTCACAATTACCCCTTACGCTCTTACATCTTAGTAATTTTACTCACCGACTACTTTAAGACATAATGACCACCCTCGGCGTAGCAATCAACGGAAGATCTCTTTATTTATTTTTCTGGCGCATGCAGTCAAATGTCGTCAGTTATTTCCATTAACGTAATTAATGTCCGGAGTAAGAAGCTCAGGAACGTGAGCATTCTGTCTGATTTCCCTTTGCCTACAAGAACCGGTATTCAGAAAAGCCTGTACGACTTCCAGGCTTCCAATCAACTGAATTCGTCTTCCGTGATGAAGTAAGTCGTGAGTTGCAAACACTTTGCCTGGTCTAATCCCAAGGAACCGCCACTGACTCTGCAGTCCACCATCCATCGCGTAAATTCCTCAACCGGAGTAGGGGAACTGTTCCTCAATTCATCCCCCTGTCCGGTTCAGATCCCCAAACCCCTGAGAAGAAATGGGACCCGCAATGCCCACCTATCCACATGTTCTGGTCTGCCGTCATTTCACACAATGACCAGTGCGTTATTATTATTGTAAAACCCAACTAAGTCCACGGAGCCATATCAGGAGTATTTTCCTCGTCTTATTATATAAATGGTGCTTGTAAAGTGGAATTTAATGTAGTAACTATTCAAAGTAAGCCCCGCTAACATTTTTGTCGTTGATACTGGATACTTGTCAAATATGTTGTTTTCATTCCTCACTCTGGTATCAGTTGGCTATAGGCACAGAGGCATGATGAGTGTCCCCGGCTGTAGACAGCGAGATCTCATCATGTGGCTACAGTCTCTTCCAAACTGCACGTCTAGGTAATCTTTGTGATTGAATCCACATGGCTTTGACGCAAGCGGGTGAATGTTAGCTGTCGAACCTTAACTTTCTTCCCCTCGAGGAAATTTGTTACTGTCATCAGGAGCCAATAAGCTTTATAAAATCATAGGTAACTTCATAATAGCATTCATTTACTGAATGTCATTCATGACAAAAGATGTTTACAAACGAACCACCATGGCATACAGTGCATTACCTAACTCATGAAATATGTCGGAATTTACGAATGATTGTCAATCACCCGCAAACCGACACCATGTCATGAGTCCAATGTCTATGTTAATTAAGTACAAGTTTAAAAGAATTAAAAACATAAAAAATATTAAAGACTGTGTTGCGTTGTTTAAAAATGCCGATTTTTTTAAAATAGCGCAATACCTGAAAACGTCGGAAATGGCTTATTTAGTAAACTTCATTTTTAGATGTATAGAGTGAATCCTCATAAAAAACGTAGTAAATATGATAGTAGAAATAAAACAACGTCAAATTATAGTGTTTCAGTGGAGTTAACATCTTAATAGCGTTTAATAATTACTGCGATTTCATATATGACGGTTTGTCAACTGCCTACATTCTGAGTGTAGATTCCCAAACAGTTTACCAGGGATTCGTGTTATTCTTGACAGGTTTGAGTTAAATGAGATGGGGTTCAACAAGAGAAACTGAATTTTGCTTGATTTCACCGATAGAGACGTCGTAGGAACAAATGATTTCATAAGGTGTCATGCTGTCAGGCCGATCTGTACGTCTTCCGGTCGCAGGTGTTTGTTGTATGTATCAGCCAGACGTACCGCATGTGCAGCGGACAAATGGCCTCCAAATAACTCGTTTAAACAAATCCTTTTGCTTAATTCCGTCCAAGGTGTACAGGTGGCCGTAGAGTGTTTCCTTTGCATCTTTCCGAGTGGAAATATGAATGAACAACTAGTATAGCAAATTATTCAACTGATGCTCGAAATTACTTGTTAACTCCGACCTGTCCTGTCTTTATGAGGCTGTAGCTCTCTCTGTTAGCGGTGTTTAGTCCTTTACAATGACGAGGTCATGCGATGGCAGTCAGTGGGACTAGTAAGAAAGGTTGGGATGTCTAATTCATGACTGGTTTCCCTGTGCCGACAGAAACTCGTGACCACAGAGACGGTGGCCCTTACGGTCGGTTAACCAGCTGTTATACCTGCCACTCTAACGCCAGTTAAACATCGCACTTTAGTACCCGACATTTTGAACGTCGATTCCGACGATGTCCTCCGTGTGCTCCACAACAAGGTGAGACAGGGACACCGACTGATGCGTGACTTAGTTTATGGTGAACGTAAACTTGAGCAGCATCTAAAGCACTCTCTCCCCCCAACTCCCCACCTGGACCCGGTGTCAATACAGAGTCGAGAAGACAGAAGGCGTGGACGGGCGCAGGCGGATGGCACGGTTGCGCCCGTACCTTGGCGTTTCACTCCACAGCCCCTGGTCCACACAGCAAATAACCAGGTTTTTGACCAGCAGCAGCAGCAATAACAACACCCAAAAGAGGCCAAAAGGACGAGGATAATGACTGGGCAGCCATGCCCATCATCTGTATATCTAACGGGAGCGCGACCACATCTACCGGCAGGGAACCAGGTGTCAGAGAACTGCGAGGGCCATGGTTTGCTGATACTGGCAATGCATACGCTTGCAGACCATGTGACCTACTTTGATACCCGCATCCAAGAGTGCGGTCTTACAAGACGCAGCCGGCTGACACCATTTCCTCGACGCCTGACCTCAGAACTCGGTCATAGCTCACTCTTGTGTAGCATTTCTTACTGCTCCACAGCTCGCACTCCCATTATTTTTGTCAGTTTTGTGTTCCTTCTTCGCTGACATACCGTCTCGCCTATTCGTGTGCAGACCAGATGATGAGCGTTCGAAAAGTGTGGTTGCCAAACTTCACTTCTTTGATGTTTGTATGAACTTCCGTATTCATACCAGGAATAAATAAATGGAGGCAAAATGATAATATAGGATTCCAGGAATTAACCTCCATACTCCTGATTAGAACTGTCTTCAAGCGTGAGTCCACAGAGGCATTTAGGTCATGCCAAGCACAGGAGGCTTCGGAAGAAATTAGGAGGGTGAGGGTCAAAGGCGGACCAGAAGGTAAAAGTAGGATAGACAAGAAATGGAGCAAGGCGTGACACCGTCGAGCGCCGAGATTTCTGAATTTTTCTCACAAGATCTGTTCTTGTGAGAGATAATTTTCAAGTCTATTTCTTTGGCTAAAGCGTGCAGTATCAGCCTTGGGAATGCGGTATAAGGAAGTGCCCTTGACAAGTATAAACAACACATTCATTAACCCTACTACCCCTCCACAAATCGCCTCTGAAACTTATCAATATATATATATATGTGCATGTAGACGAAAATGCTGACCCCAGGGGTTGAAATTGAAGAAGGTGGTAAGGCGAGCTCTGGGGATGATGATTTATTCATCTGACGTTTCACACTCATACTCCAGCGCACCATCGGAGATAGAAAATATGAGAAAATTACACGGTTTAAATAGATCCCTCTCGCTCGCGCCTGATAGGGCCATCAATTTCTATCCCCATTGGGCCTCCCCTGGTGCGTAGGTGGTGTTTGGCGGCCTCGTATGGTGCCGGTAGTTCGACGTAGCGGTTGATGGAGTTGGCGTCTGTTTGCCAGGCCTCGAGTATTTCTCGCGTCAGTCTGTTTTCCGCTCGGCCGAGCACTTGGGAGCCGTCAAAGTCAAACCGATGGTCATTTTCCAGACTGTGTACGTCGACGTCTGAGCGTGCATCTTTCCGCTTGACGGCTAAGGTGTGCTCATTCATGCGCGTTCTAAGTCGTTTGTTTATCATGCCGCAACAGTTGGCCTGACAGTCTAGGCAGTTGACGCGGTAAATGACACCTGACATGTCCTCAGGGGGCAGCCTACCCTTTGGCTGCATGACTAATCAGCGAATGGTGGCTTCCGGTCGGTGCCAACGCCCACGTTAAGTGGTCTTAGCATACGCTCAGTGGCCTCAGAGACGTTCCTCATGTAGGGAAAGGCACAGAGTACCTCAGGTTTTTGGTTCTCCTCATCCTCAGTCTTTGTGTGTCTTTGGAACAAACATTTGTTTACGAAGCTACGTGGGTATTCATTGACAAGGAATAGGTGCCACAGGAACGCACGCTCTTGTAGCTTCTCGGCCTCTGTGCTGCAGTGCGTGTTGGTGCGGCGGAAAAGTGTCCGGACGCAACTGCGTTTATGCGACAGGGGATGGTTGCTGTTGTAGTGGAGTATTTTCTCTGTGTTTGTGGCTTTTCGAAAAACACCGGTCTGGAGGGTTCCATCTTCCTGCCTCGTTACCCGCACGTCGAGGAAAGGGAGCGTTCCGTCCTTCTCTTCCTCCATTGTGAATTGGATTTGTGGGAAGATGGAGTTTAATTCTCCTCTAAAGGTCTCCTTCGCTTCTCGGTGTAGGACGACAAAGGTATCGTCCACATAGCGCATCCAGAATTTTGGCTTATAGGACCGAAATACAGGAGTTTCGAGTTCCTGTAGTACCGCCTCAGCCAGGTAGCCGGAGATTGGGGATCCCATCGGGGTTCCCTGGATTTGCTCATAAGTATGGACGTTATAAGTGAAATAGCATAAGCAGCAGTCCACTAACTCAATCGCGTGCTTCCTTTTAAACGATTTTTCTTCATCGTCCTACTTTCGTTCCAGTAGGCCACTGATGACTCTCATGGCCAACTCCTTAGGGATGGAGGTAAACAAAGAGACGATGTCAAAGGATACCATGATCACATCGGGGGCCATTGTCACGCCTCGGACTCTTTCCAGGAAGTGCGTTGAGGAGGCGGCTGTGTGTTCGGAGCCTTCCATCAGCTTTTTTAAGTGTTCGTTAAACCATTTAGCCACTTCGTAGGTAGATGTGCCTTTCAGCGCTACGAGGGGTCGTAGGGGGACATTTGGCTTGTGAATTTGTGGCAAACCGTAGAAACGCGCTGGAGCGGCATCTTGCGGCCTCATTTGTCTCCAATCGTTTTCAGATATCGTTTTTGGCTCCTCATCTGATTGAAGCCCTTGTTGATTTTGCCTACCAGTGTTTTTATGGGGTCAGAGTCGACGACTCTGTATGACTGGTTGTCGTTTAGTAGTTCTTGGGCTTTTGCGACGTACTCGGATCTGTCCAAGATCATGGTTGTCCGTCCTTTGTCCGCTGGAACAATGACTATTTCTTCGTCCATCTTTAATTCTCTAATGACCTTTAATTCGGCCGAGGAGATGGTTCGACGTGGCTTGTGGGATATGATGAGGGATGAGACTCGCTGGCGAATGGAGTTCTTGGAGTCTTCTGTGGTATCCGTCTTTGCGAGTGTCGCTTCCAATGCCCCAAAATAAATCCAGTGGCTGCGCGTCACCTGTGTTGTATCCAGATTCGTGCTGAAGCACTTTAATCTGGTCGTCTGTCAGCTGTTTGGATGAGAGGTTGTGGACGGATGGTTGTTCTGACATAGCTGCATCTGCCTGCTGTAGGATACGCACTTCGTTCAGGAGTTGGACCCTCTTCTTCCCTCGCTCTACGTTCATCTTTATCGAGATCCAGCTCTCCAGGTTTTGCAGTGTTTGATCTTCCAGGTGTGATGCACATGCTGCTTTCTGCCTTTTGATTTCCCTGCCGTACTTTTGCAGGCGAATATGACGTTCGTTAATGAGGGTTCGTAGTAAGCGTCGGCTGCAGCTGCTGGCGACCTTCCGACCGAAATCGGTCTTAGCTGGTGGTCTCACAGAAACACTCTTCGGCATGATGTCTGACCTCAGGCGGTTGTGTAGAAACACCAATTGTTCCCGTGTAGCTACCTGTCTACAGGAAAATATTTCCCAATGCCGTGCTCGGCGAAGCGCTTGGCGCCCGGAATTCTCATGGATGTAAGATATATGAAGAAAAATGAGTCCATTGGAAAAGTGAACAAACTTTGTTTCGTAAATTTTTATGTCTGATTCCCCAGTTCGTCGTCAGACGTGTAGCGCGTGTGAAAAAACAGTTAAAATTTAAGCGTGCCCGAAAAGACGACATTGTTTTGTCAATGCTGAGGATGGGTCTGTGCTGTGGGCTGACGTCACGTTTTAATCGGTTATCACCTTTTCCATTTTCTTTCGAGATTTGTGTATATGGCATCAAGATCGATGCGCTGATTGATGTATGAATCATCAGAGTGAATGGCGTCTAGGAATTCTCGGCTTTTTTATGTGGATGGGAGCCGAAAATGCGTGTTTTATCCCAAGCAACTTTGTGCCCAGTTTCAAGAGTATGCATGACGACTTGGGAACGCTTCCTTACATTCAAAATATGTCTGAACTCGTTGAAAGACACCTGTGGAAGCATCAAATACGAGTGACCCACAAACCGACGACGGCGCTACGCAACCAGTTTGTAAACCCTAAGGATAGGGTTGATTATTTGGATAAAAAAGAAGTGGTCTACTAGATTGCCTGCGGCACTTGTAATGCCACAGGTCAAACCGGGAAATCCGCCCCTACACGCCTACATGAACACCAGTTGGCAACAGAGAGGCGAGACCACTTATCCCATGTCGTCATGCATACTCTTGAAACTGGGCACAAAGTTGCTTGGGATAAAACACGCATTTTCGGCTCCCATCCACATAAAAAAGCCGAGAATTCCTAGACGCCATTCACTCTGATGATTCATACATCAATCAGCGCATCGATCTTGATGCCATATACACAAATCTCGAAAGAAAATGGAAAAGGTGATAACCAATTAAAACGTGACGTCAGCCCACAGCACAGACCCATCCTCAGCATTGACAAAACAATGTCGTCTTTTTGGGTACGTTTAAATTTTAACTGTTTTTTCACACTTCCTACACGTCTGACGACGAACTGGGTAACCAGACATGAAAATTTACGAAATAAAGTTTGTCCATTTTTCCAAAGGATTCATTTTTTTCGAATTATGTTCTTTAAGTTGACCAGCTTCCAGTACATATATATGTATATATTGTTTATAGAAGCGAAGATTCTAGTCCCCGGACATAAGTGAAAAGAGGCGATATCGGGAAATCGGCGCAGCCTTCCCGAGATCGCCTCTTCTGTTCATGTATATATATATATATTACCAGCATTATTTGAGTAGCACTGTTAGTTGGAGTATATAAATCGAAGGGTATGCATCTGAGATGGCAGGCCATCGCTTGAGTACGCCTTACACGCATAAGCCATATGGGGAATTTGCTTTAGACCCTTATATATAGCCAGTCTTTTGAGGACCAAGACGATGCTATGCGAAATCCCGTGGGTCTATAATCGCCCAGTATGTGCTGTTGTCAAAATTTAACGAATACTATTGAGAAACTGATACATGCATATGTGTGTACTGAGAGAAAGGCGTTCTAGGAAATACAAACTGAATTCAAATTAGTTTTTCCAGGACTAAGCGGACCTAATTAAATAGATTCCCACTACTAATCCCCCAGATCGCCGTCAGACCTACGGCCAATGTGAAGAAATGCGCATAGTGTCCATAACGTTGGTTTTTAGTAATTCTTAAAAAAGTAACCTATTTATAACCCTACCACACGTTCGACGATGACCTGGGGGACTGAATTCGAACAATTACGGAATAAGCTTTGTTACCTTCCAAAAAACTTATGCATATAGGCCACAATGCGGCCCCAGTACGTAGATGACGCACTTATCATTAGGACCTGCGAGGTTGACTGTTCTCGTTAGAGCCTGAATAAAGCATTCCGACGCGTTCAATTTACTTGCGATGAGGCAACGGGCAATATCCTACCGTTTCTAGACGTGCGTATACGGGAACTCAGTGACAGTGGCCTTGCAGCAGGGGTTCATCGAAAAGACTTCAACGCCGCAACCATCCCTAATCATTAGAGCAATTATCTTGAGGTCCATAAAGGAAGTTGTATCTGAGCTCTTTTTAACCGGACCTATCCTTACTGTGGCAAAGATGATCCAATTGGGAAAGGACTGGCTTGTTTGCATCGGTTTTTCTGACTAAAAGGATACCCGGTTTGCTTTGTGAATTAATGGCTCAGTCACCAGAGCCAGCGACAAAGCTTCGACTTTAACGGAGACAGTGTGCCACGAAAATCCTACTCCCACCGCTACACACCAAGAATTTTCGGAGCGGTTACCTAACACCTACAGTGCGTGACCGATCTCATGAAATGTTGGCCAAAATTCTGAAATGCGTATTCGATCAGGACGGATTACTTAAGCGCTGTTCTAATACCGACTGTCTTGTGGCATAATCCTATAATATTTCTAACTTAGTAGGATATTCGCTTTTGAGTGCACTGTCTTTCAATCTCCTGTAAAAACTGTAGTCGGTAAAAAATGACTACTCAAGTAGTATGCATTTTTCACACCAATTTTCGATGGTCTCGCAAATTCAAATATATTTTATATAATTCACGAACAAAATATGCTTTCCTTCAGTCGTTTGGTAGAGAATCACGTCATTTTTATTTTGTATACTCGAAGAAGACGTATAACTAGGTTCAAAAAAGTTTCTAATTATGAGATCGTGCAATGTCCATTCATACGGCATCGTACCTCCCCGTTTACCACTGCTCCTCGTGAAATGTACAACATGGTCCACATCCGTTGCAAAATTTTATGGACTCTATATGGTATCTTTTTACGTGGAACTCATGCACCTAGCAGACTGAAAGCACTAGGCGATAATGCAACGGCTGATTAGGCGCCAAATTATCCGGGAATTAGAAAACTTTTCTAAAACCTAATTATACGCTTTCTTCGAGTAGAAAAAAATGAAGATGACGTGATTCTCTACCAAACGACTGAAAGAAAGCATATTTTTGTTCGTGCATTCTACAAAATCCATTTGAATTTGCGAGAATATCGAAAATCAATGTGAAAAATGCATACTATTTAAGTAATCATTTTTTACCAAGCACAGTTTTTACGGGAGATTTAAAAGCAATGCATTGGAAAGCTAATATCCCGCCGAGTCCGAAATATTATAGGATTATGCCACAAGACAATCGGTATTAGAACCGCGTTTAATTAATCCTTCCTGATCAAAAACGCGTTTCAGAATTTTGGCCAACATTTCATGAGATCGGTCACGCACTGTAAATCCGTTTGGCATCTCCATCGCTCACAAGCCGACGTCCTCCCTGCACACAGCATTATCCCGATTAAAAGACCCCATACCTAAGGAGCAGGAAGCAAATGTCATGTGCCGCATTGCATGTGCGGACAGCTCATGCGTCTGTGTCGGCCACACAGGCCGACGACTTGGGACCCGCAGGCTGACCATCCGCCGACGGGAGCCCCTGTTTTTCGTGTTTGAGCACGCTCATGAGTGCGATCGCTGCTTTACTTGGGATAAAATTGAGGTGTTAACACCAAACAATCTTATGTGGTACGATGACGGGTTGGCGCAACTAGCTTGAAAATCAGCGAGTAAACCTTTATTTACTGATGGGCATTCTCATCCGTGGCTGGCCGAAGAGTGCGCAAAAGCGTGCCAATTGCATTTCGACGGCAGTAGTTACGCTGACTTCATTTGTCCCTGAGAAATTTGTACGTAGGAGTTAAATCGATAGACCGATTGATAAATGCCTCATCTGGTCACATTGCTCCCAGCAATTCATGACCCTTCTGTATTAGGCGAGTTTTCCCGCACAAACTAGTTTATAGTCCCCAGTATGGGCGTGGTCACCTTGGATATATGTTCTCGTTTCTTCACCGCCAAATAGTGTTCTTGAACACGGGTTAAGACGGATTTCCCATTTAGAGCACAGTATACGACATAACAAGTGAGGCATGAGATTTTGTGGACAACACCTTTTTCTGATGGGAGCGGACAGGCAAGATCCAGGAGACAGTTCAGAAGAAGAATAAATTGCGATCGCTAAAGCAAGAAGTTTACCGGCCTGACGCTTCGGGCTCTCACTAGAACCCACCATCAAAGACTGTTTAAGGTAAAGGTAGTGGATGCCCAAAGACTGCAGTATTTACAGTACGTAGCTGCCGTGGGATCACGCGTGTATAATAATTAACAGCGATCACCGCTGATGGTCGTAATTCAGTAGATAATGGCTCGTCAGTCCACATCCGAGTCGTTAATGGTCGCAACTTCAAACTTCCGGGCAAAGCTTGACATTAGTATCCCGGTCCGAAACCAGAAAAGACAAGCAGATAAAATAGCTAGATGACTTTCGACATCTTCAGTGACAGTAGACGAGATGCCAACCCATGGTCCAAATGGTAGAACGATTTGATGACCTCATTCCAAACCCCATTTATCTTCACGGCCTACGGTGGACATATGACGGTTTTTTTTGTTTAGGTTTATAGACCTACTGTTTATTTATTATTTGTTGCTAGGTGGTTGCTTGCAACATTTGTGACTGGCGCTCTACGACCTTACGACATATAAACTATTTTGCCCTTCAATAAGAGTAGACAGGAAAGCTGCATCACCACCACCACCACCGCCGCCACCACCACCACCACCACCACCACCACCACCACCACCACCACCACCACCACCACCACCACCACCACCACCACCACCACCACCACCAGGACAGAGGGTGTGTAGCAGTCTTTTCTCTGTCCCCTCGTTCTACTATATACGCGCCACGGCTGCGCTCTCTAACCCTCGATCTGCAATCCCGTCGAAATCACATTCCTGGTCGATAATTTGCCACTACCCTCGCGTGCTCTGGAAGCCGCTCAATGCGATCTCTTTTGATGATTGGTTACAAGTGCACACAAGGGACGCCGCCCTTGCGGACGTGATTTTTAACAGACAGGACAGAGGCAAAAAGGACACAACACCCTTTTTGGTGGTAGCGACAAACCGAAGGCACCGCAGCTGACACTCTCCAGAACGAACGCTTATTTCTGTCACAAACATGCAGCCAATTTACGACGACCTGCCCTGCGTACAGAATAAACCTGTATTCACAACTTCCTGACTTCTGTTACTAGTTGGAGCAAAATTATTGTATGCGGTTTAAGTTGATTTTAAGTCCCTGACCACTACAGGTGGTGTTCAGTCGGTGGCTGCAGACAAACTGTACTCTACAGCGACCGGCGAGAGGTGGAAAGTTGAGGGAAAGTTGGTTGGTAATGGAAATGTGGCCCGCTTTTCAGCCGGTGAAGTCGGATTGTCAACGCAGTCCATTATCTCAGGCACCGAAAAGCACGAGATGTTCGGTTAGGTTAAGTTTTTCTTAAGGGAAAGGTAGGCAAACGCCTATTGGTTGCAAAATGTCTAAGAAAAAGCACCGATGGTGGAGAATAGCAAAAGGGTTTGTTTACGTAATTGCATGCGATAGGGAAACAGAGACCGTTTGTCTAGAAAGTTAGCATGAACATCTACTAACGTATTTCAAGTAGTATAATAAAGCTTGAGCTCGGTGCCCAGTTATGTGCGTGTGCATGTCGCTGGTAATTTAGAAGCTCGATCCGAGTCGAGGGTGTATTTGAATGAATTCGAACTGGAGGGGAGAACAACATCTGTAGTCATCTGCAGCCAATCTGCAACCAATCTGTTACTGAAGAAAAACTTACGTCTTTTGATTTTTGCTTTATCTGTGCGTAGTTTTAGGTGAAGAGCTCACAGTGGGCTTGTTAGCTTGAATGATAAAAAACACTGGGACAAAGCAAGAGTCCAGGCCATTCATAATGCGGAGGGTAAGTATGATATCATCTCGTAGTTGTCTGTAGGAAAGGGAAAACGGTTGGAGGGCTGACGGTCTGTTTTGATAGGTCAGTGCGACATCTCAGGGGAGTGCGGATTGGAATCTCCGAATGAACCGAGGGAAAAGCAGAAAGTTTTTCTACATGAGTTCGGAAAGGCAATAAGAATGAAAGCCCAAAAATCTCTTCATGCCCCTTGTCGTGGTGCTGAGGGCATTTCCACCGAGTGAGAAGGACGTAGTAACTGCCTAAAATTTCAAGTAACATCCTCGAGATATCGAGCCACTTGCTTTGCTGCCAGTGCGAACTGATCTGGGGATGCAGGAGGACCAGATTGACGATCCGTCCCTCGGGGTAAATGCTTGTTTTTCTGATATTTCGTCTGGAAATCGGAGTTTCCCTACAACCGACCGCTGTTGAACCCTTTCTTGCTCATGACTGGTTAGGTGAGCAGCTTTCTCAATGCTCACATAAGGTGAAAGAGTAATTTGGAGAGGCTCATCTAACATTTACTCTGCGGCGAACGACGCGATCTTGAAAGAGGGCATCCAATAAGAAAAAATTCAGAGAAAAACGCTCTTCAGTACCTATGCGCATTATGCCTTGAAATGAAAGAAAACTCCGCCATGCGCATTCGGCCGGAAGTGCTTAATTAGTTGAACTTGCGAAGTTGAACAGTAATCTGGCCCATAAACAGTTTTTATGGCCAGTTTCAGTAGTTTCCGAGGCAGACCCAAAATCGGAGTGTGAGAAAAAAGTAGGTTTTAATGGTATTTTCTAGAAAACCACCAATAACAGTAGTGTACAAACAATTTTTGTAAATTCAACAGCACCTAGATGAAGATAGTCACTCCCATTCATTGCTAAGGGATATCGACGAGACGTCAGCGTCGAAAGTACACTTTGGACTGAATAGCTACCTTAAACACATGACCTGAAGTGGTTCCGACTGAGACGAAACTCCGTATGCGGGTGATCATGAGGTGCGTGTGTACTGACGTGTGCTAACTCATGAAATGTTTTGGTTCAAGAAGATTACTTAAGTAAAGTTGTAAAACTAATCATCATGCAGCATAATTATATAATAATTCAGTCACCTCAGGATGTCGGCTTTCGAACCAACTTCTTTCACGCTGTATACAAAAGCTATACTCTGCACAAGATGACTATTCATGTAGTATGCATTTTCCTCATTGATTCGCGATGTCCTTCAAAATTCAATTATATTTCATGGAAAACTTGCATAAAAATATTTATTCTTCTGCTCATTTGGTAGAAACTAACGTCTTCTTCCAATTTTACACTCGAAGGTAGGGTATAATTTGGTCTGGAGGAAAGTTTCTTATTGTAAGATTTTTCATTACCGTAAAATGGCCGTTCATAAAACGCCATGACTCTGCATTTACTAGTGTTGCTTGCAAAGTTCACAATATGGCTCAAATCCATTTCTAAAGTTAATGAACCCCATATGGTCTCTTCTTCATGCCGTAGAGAAATGCATGGTTTTTCGCAGGCAAAAATCTACGGCTAGTACTTTGAAAACCCTGAATACAGGTGTAACGGCAAGTCGAGTTGAAAATATTCGGAAATCGGAAAACTTGTTGAAAATCGAATTATACTCCTCCTTTGAGTACAACATTGAAAGACGACGTCATCTGCTATCCAATGAGCAAGAGAAGGAATATTTTGATGCATGTTTTCCGTAAAATATAACTGAATATTTAAAGGCATCAAAAATCAATGGAAAAAATGCATGCTACTTAAGTACGCATTTTTTTCGGGTATGCCTGTTACATGCCGCCAGAAAAAAGTTTATTCGACAGCCGGCACCCCGAGGTAACTGAATTATTGCAGAATTACGTTGCATGATAATTAATTTTAAAACCCTACTTAAGTTGTCTTTTCGAAACGAAAACGCATTTCAGAATTTCAGTTGACATTTCATGAGTTAGTCCACATACTGTGTGTACCTGGTCGGTAACTTGTAAATCCATCGCACTGTGGCCGGTGGACCAGTGCCAGGAGCCACCATGTAGGCTGGTCGCTACCGCACACACATTTCTCCCTGCCTACGCATATTCATTAATTGCAAGGGCCCACTCGGTCAGATGCGCAATCTTGAAGACATGTAGTAAATTCCCGCAGACATGAGCTCGCTATCGCTGAAGGATATCGGAGAGAAGTCAGCGTCGAATGTGCACACCGGACTGAATAACCACCTTAAAAACATGACCTGAAGTGGTTCCGACTGTGAGGAAACCCCCTAGGTAGGTGACCATCAGGTACCTGGGTACTGACGTGTGCTAACTCATGAAATGTCAACCGAGATTCCGAAATTAGTTTTTTTTCGAAATATTCATTCGTCTGCTCATGTAGTAGAAAATTACGTCTTCTTCCAATTTTATACTCAAGAAGGATACAATTCGGTTGTAGAGAAGTTTTTCAATATGAAATCTTCTAGTACCGTGAAATGCCTATACATATAACACAGTGTCTCTGCATTTACCGTTGTCGCTTATAAATTTCACAATATGATTTAAATTCACTGCTAAGTATTATGAAGCCTATATGGTGACGTAATTGTCTACCGAATGAACAAGAGAATGAATATTTGTATGCATGTTGTCGGTAAAATATACCTGAATATTCAAGGGCATTGAAAATTAAGGAAAAAAATCCATGCTATTTAACCAGGCATTTTTTGCCGAGCGCACTTGTTGCATGCGGCCAAAAAGAAGTTTATTCGATAGCTGGCATCCCGAAATAGCTGAATTATTGCATAATTATGTTGCATGACGATTAATTTTAAAACCCTACTTAATTAATCTTTTCGAAACGTAAACACATTTCAGAATTTCGGTTGACATTCAATGAGTTAGCACACCTACTGTATGTACCTAGTCGGCAATTTACGAATCTATCGCACTGCGACCGGTGGACCAGTGTCAGGAGCCACCCACACATTTCTCACTGCCTACGTATACTCATTAACCCCAAGGGCCCACTCGGTCAGACGCGCAGTCGTGAACACCTGTGGTAAATTACCGCAGGCATGAGCTCACTATCACTCATGCCTCCATCAACAAATGCATCCCACATGAACACCTGCAGCACCCCAAGTCACTGGCATCACCCACACAAGTGAGAAGTGTGTTCTTCGGCTCCTCTCTCCCCGTGGCTCCTCGGCTGTATGTCAGGCCCGAGAGGTACGCTTCTTATGTGTGTGAAATCCAGACGTGTGGACACGGGAGGGCCAGGTTGCGCGTGTTTTACGTGCAGACAAGCAGTTTTCAGGTCTTCCAATCTCAACATGTGTATTCCCGATCAAAACCGACAGGGTGAAGGGTTCGTGACCCAGTGGTTAGAGGAGTAAACTTCTAACTAACAGGTCGCGAATTTGAGCCTCGGGTGTTCCACACTTCGAGGTTGGGTATGGCTGGCTGACAACGGCAAATAAGCCAAAACTGGCCATTCTAGTCTCCCTTGTCTTTGTCGGCAATACCATTCTGCCTATATATCATGCGCCGCTGTGCGGCCGCTGGTTGGGCTCGAGAGAGAGCCGTGAAGGCATAACGGCACGAGTGAGTTCCGTATGAACGATCGGTGAGCGCCCCCTACCATTGTATATTCCCGATCGAAAACCGACAGGACAACGGACTCGTGGCCCGGTAAGTAGAGGCGTGGACTTCTAAACCAACAGGTCGCGAGTTGGAGCCTCGGGTGTTGCCCACTTCGGGGTTGGCTATGATTGGCTGACGACGGCTAATAAGCCAGAAATGGCCATTCCAGTCTCCCTCGTCTTTGTCGGTTATAACATACTGCCAACATCAGTTAGTCGACCGGCTCGGACAGTGGGCTGATGCCCGCGCGTTGGAAGAGAGAAAGTAATATTGA